TGGAAGTGTGTCTTGTGGCATAGCTACCATGTATGCTTGTATGCTCAAGCATCCACATTATTTTCATAATTGTTTTTAAGATATATAATATCTATTTCATGTATAAACATAAAATATAAAAGTAATGTCTTCCCATTCACTCATTGAAATTTTATTTCAATATATCACTGGTTATAACAACTTGTCTCCCAGGGCCCCGCATGTATGCATTCACATACCTTTGATGCTGGCTACGCCACAGGTGTCCTATTTCAGGGTCATTTTATCCTCTTTTTTTTTTTTTTTGTTACACTGTCAAACAGTTTCCAATTACCATACCAAAAATTACAGTAACAGAACCAGCCAACACTGGGTGATGGATGCTAACACACACACACACACATAATGGGTCTACTTTATAATAAGATGTTACACAATATTAAAAAATAGTGGAGGGTTTAAACATAGCAACAAAAATTGTTTAAGTGCAAATTGATATTCAGAAGATGAAGGTAATGATGGCATCATGATGAAGAGGAAGTAAGTCGGACATCAAACTGAACAGACCACAGTGTCAGAAGACAAAGTAAACTGTACAGTTCACTCCACAAGATGTCTTATGAAGAAAATCTGTAATCCATTAAGCAGAAAGGACCCCACAAAGAATTGAAAAAAGGCCCCACTAACTAAACTGAATGAGCAATTAACAAAATGACCTAAAAGAAAGGTAAAACTGGACCAGTTGAAAGATGGGGGTTGGTACACCGAGATGAAGAAAGGAGCAAAGGAGAAGCTGTTGAGCCAAGAACCTGCCCTTGGCCAGGCAACTCAATAGATAATAATAAAAACAATAACACTCTATCCAATACTGTACAGTATAAAACAATTCATAATTTAAGTTATACACACACACACACACACACTATATATATATATCACTTCTGACACTTTTTATTATTTCAAAGCTTCTCCACTGCTTATATATTCAAGTAAAAATTAAATCTTGAACTTTTCCCCCATATGTCAAATAAAAAGAAATTAACCTACTGCTTCATTTCATGGCATCAACAATGCATTTTCAGAATGTTGGAGGTATTCAACCTAACCACAACATAAAAATTGAATGTCAAGGAAAATGAAAAAGTCAAACAGGTGTTATTGTCTATTTTATACTTGACTTTATATTTTCCTAAAAACAAATTCTGGAGACACATACTGTATCTAAACAATGCTAATTCATAGAAATTACTGTTCACCTCTTCTTTTTCACTTCTTAGTTCTCCATCTAGATGTTGAGACCTCAGTCTCCTATAGTCATGTTCAGCTGGGTCATAGGATTCTTCAGATGTATCATACAGACCTGCTGCTGGTTTCTTTTCAAATGGAATTTCTGCATTGTAATCTACTCCTTTTTTCTTCTTCTTGCGAGGTGGAAGTTCTATGCCAGCCATTTTTAACTCCCTTCGCTTCTGAAGTGCAGCAAGTCTCCGTGCCTCTTCTAACTGTTTCTCTCTTGCTTTTCGCTTGGCTTTCTTGCCTTGGGTATTAGCCAATCGAGCTCGAGCTTCAGACAGCATTTCCAACTCTTAAAAACCATGAATAACAGTAATATTAACCTAAATATATCTTAAATGAAAATATGTTTAGTTTGTTATCTTAAAACTACAATTTTTCTTTCACTAAATTATAATCTCAGAAATAAAAACATTAAGTGGAAAAATGAAGCTCAAAACCTTTTTTGGATTACAAAATATCTTGATGAATGCAGTATCTTTAAGATAAAATGACTACCATAAGAAGCTTAATGCTATGGCTGGGATTTCATAAATTTTAGGTTTTAAGTAAACAATAATTGTTTCTTGTACATATAGAAATGTGACAAATATTACTTTATATTTTTCTCTTTCAACACAAAAGTTGTAACTTTGAATTTTATCTTCTGAGTAGAGTGGTGAGATTATAAAGTGAATAATTAGTTAACAAGTCAGTGGTTTACAATAAAATAAAAAATTACTAATCAACAGGTTAAAGTGATCCAATGAAATCTAGTTTTTTTATCTGAATATGATCTATTATATCCAAAAGCTCCAATATAAACAAGAAGTCAAGAGTGTATAGATATAATTTTTGCACTAAGTATACATATTGCTGTTATTCCATTATTGGTGTATGTATGTGTGTGTGTGTGTGTGTGTGTGCATGTGTATGTATATAATCAGAAATTAATATTTAAGTGTTCACTAGTTGTGCAGAAATACTTGTTACTCTTTCCAAAGGTAAAGAAAGTCAAAACCATACTACTTGTATTAATAGGACACGTAACTATTATAATGTATAATTTGTTTGGACATTAAGTAACATTAAACTCTTAATCAAAGTTTCATCATGCTAGCCTCCTATCTGATTACTTCATCAGGTAGTCTCCTTCATCCATGCCACTTCATGCAGAATCCTTCTAATTGCTCCTTACTAGCCCGCTCAACCATGGTTCCATCAGTTGCTTTGGCTGCAGGTGATTCCTCCCATCACCCTTGCCTTACTTCCAGACCTATTACATCAACCGCAGTCATTGGTTCTACATCGCGCACCTCCCGTTCTCCGTCTTCACACCTGGCTTTTGTCCGGTCCCTGGCGAGGAGTTCCAGATTCTCTTGCCAGGTAACTTCTCATTTAGCCCATTCTGTTCATTCTTCTTCCTTGGAATTTTTACGGATGGAAGTGGAGTGTTTTTCACACCTGGGCCTTGGCTCGGGATTTCCCAGCTTCTTGGCCTACAGTTGCTGGTGTCGCCAAATTCCATACCAGGCTCTTTGAGAGGGGTTCGTCAGTTTCCTCAATTTCAGGTTTTGGGGCAACCTTATCCCATTCTTTCTGTTTTTCCTATTTCCACAGGGTCTTTTCCTCCCCAGTCATTTCCATGTTGATCTATTCTTTCTGGCCGCTGAGACGTCTGTCACTTCCAGACTGAGACATTAAGGTGTGATGGAAACTTGATCTAGCAGTTGCCTGGTTATGATCCATTCCGACAATTCTTCAGTGGTAGCTTATATCAGTCACCAAGGTGGCACCCGGTTGAGATCCTTGTGTTTTTACACATTAGATCTTCTCTATTGGGCCCACTCCCATCACAATCGTTTGATGTCATGTCATATTCCGGGTGCATTGAATCTGGTGGTGAATCGTCTTTCCCACCCGGATTGGGTTTATCCCATGGAGTGGTCATTACATCTTCTTGTATTTTGGTGGCACTGTCATTGGTTGGGTACTCCCCATATAGACGCATTTGCCACCACCCTCAATCACAAATTACCTCAGTTTTGGACCCCAGTTTCCCATCCTAGGGCTTTGGCAATAGATGCCTTTAGCCAAGATTGGTCCCACCTGTTTCTTTCTGTTTATTGATAGAAAGGAAATGATCCAATGCTTGCTGGACAGCCAGGAGTTCCAGGACATTGATGTGAAGAGAATATTCTTCACAGACCAACAACCTGAAACCTCTTGGTGATCGACCCATGTACCCCAGCCCTGAAGGGATGCATCTATGAAAAGATGTATGTAACTCTGACCAAAGAGGAGGAAGCGGGACACCCGTCGATGTATGGGCCTTGTCCAACCACCAATGTAGATTGTCCATCAAGGAGGAGGGAAGGTGAATAGGAGCATCCAGGGGATCCAATGTGAGGTTCCACTGGTCATGAAGGGCCCACTGAAGCAAACGTATATGAGCCCTGCCAAGGTGTATGATAGGTGTCAGAAACGACCACCTCCCCAAAAGCAATATAATCTCACCAGTAGAAAGTAAGTGAACAGACAGGGCTGTCCAAACAGCCAGTTCAATGGAGCTGTACAGGAGAAGGTTGACCCCGACCAAAATGGGTGTTGAAGAAAACACCCAGATGTACAAGGTAATGGGTAGGATAAAGGAAGGACCCCCTCCAATGTGATCAACCATCCCACCTGCACAGTGTAGGGAAGAAGCAGGCAAGTAGGACTGGTCAACTCCCATTTGGAATGGCCAAGAAGCCAGTCATCCATGTAAGAATGGAAGCGTAGCCCTAGAGTATGAATATGCCAAGCAAAGGGGCAAACCACTCCACCAAAACATGCAGTGCAGAAGCCAGACTGAAGGGCAAGGTGCTAAAAAGGTATACTACCCATGATAGGCAAACTGGTGGGATTAAAACCCACACCATGAACCTGAACACCATAGAGAAAAAGGCTGCTACGATGAACAAAATTCACCAGATGAGCTACCCCAGTCCCGAACTTACCAGGTAGTCACCAGAATTGTTGCCTGCATACTGTGTATCACTGTGGAAAACAGCAAAATGCTGTACTGTGGGAAACTGGGATAGGCAAGGCTGTGAAGGGTAGGGTCAGAAAACAGAGCACCCAATGTGAAAGGTGGGTCACTGTTGGACAGAAGCCACCCGCAACTCCAAGGACACAGTAATCGTGTCACACTCGAAAAGAGAAGAAGGACCACGTACGTAGGGCCAGAACCAAAGATAACGTGGCTAACAGTGGAAGGGGATGTCCCCAGAAAATTCCACAGGGTTCCCATGAACAGCCTCAGACAGGAAGAGGTGAGGTATTACAAAGAGCGTCAGTAGAAGACCAAGCGAGAAAACAGGGCATGGATAGGATGAGCAGGAAAATTAGGACCCATCCCCCAAACAGGTAAAACTGAACCTACAATTGGTGGGAGGTTACCCTAATAGTCACAAAGGCAGACTGACCCAAAACCCATGGGGAAATAGGCATACCAATGCCAACGCCCAATGGGATGGGTGACAAAGCACGGTGTAAACCCAAACATAATGGGACAGAAGAAAAACAAGGTAGAGAGGTAGAAACAAGCAATAAGGACATGGGTCAAAATAACTATGGCAAGAGATAAAACATCACATACCTGAGATATAATCTCCGAGAAAGCCAACGAGGGCTGAACAGAATCCTCAGGAAGGTGTGGGAAGTTACGGTGAACACCAGGGGTGGTGAAAAAGGTCAAAATTTTGTCAGCCTGCACCTGTAAAAGGCTCAAAAAGTACAGGAAGATCAAGGGCACAAACAGGAGACAATGTGTGTTCCATATAATACTCCATTTCCTCATGAACAAAAGCCAAGAAATCCCCTGACAGGTTGCCTGCACCTGTGGCTGAAAGTGCAGCAACAGCTGAGCAATATGCATCCTGAAGTGGTAACAGTGACTTCAGAATTCAGGCTAGATACTACACAAGCGAAAAACACACAACAAACTCAGGTAAATCAAATGCTCTCAAATAAAAGTGAAATTAAATTAAATGAAGTTAAATAAAATTAAACCACTTCTAGGATAATCAACGGTCTAAAGAAAAATGTCTGCACTCAAGCACTTCGAAACAAGAAGTGATGGTTTGGTAGTGGTGCATAGAGGGAATCACATGAGATTAGTGCTCTACTATTGGTGGAGAGTTGATGCATGACAATTTGCATGAGAGACATGTTAGAACTTTGGATTCCAACACAGGGATGTGGAAGGCTTGTGGCATGCATTTTGAAAACAGTTTGCATATAAAGGGCAGCACAGAAGTGTCTTTTGTACAAGTGGTGTTTGGTGGGTGTCACATGGTTTAACCTCTCAGTCATTAAGATGCCCTGCATGGCCATCAAATTCATTCAGATCTATATGCATCTAATCTCATATGTGAGTAATGTAGGCTGGTCACTGAGCTGTAGGGTAGCAGAAGTGATCCTGATTGGTTTTACATTTTATAAACTTTGTACATTTGAATATAAAATACCACATCTAAAAAAATGTGTCATGATGGAAGCACACATTCCCCCACCCAGTAACATATTATAATGTGTAAATAGGTTACTTTATCAACAGAAAATAAAAAGGTAAAAACAAGTGCATATATCTACACAGATAAGGAACTAAGTATATATTTATAAATTCTGAAAAGGTTTCTAAAATACACACACACACAAATGTAAAACTAAGCAAATATAAAATGAAAGCATGAAAAGGGATGAAGACAGAAAAGGCTTTTCAGCTTTTCACTTTCTGTAACTTGCTTTGAAGTTTGTGTCAATATAAGTGCATTGATGTCACACATCATGCATAAGGTTATATATTCATATAATAGTATATAAAAATACGATTTGGATAATAACAAATATAGTTGTGTGTGTTTTCATTTAACATTCATACTCTTTTGGATGCTGATATTTTAAAAAAGTAAGAGTGACTGTGTTCTTATCCAAATTCATCTTTCAAAAACCATATAACTAAGCTTTAAACAAACACATTTACCTTACAACAACAAATAAATCCTCCTTTTCATTATCACTTTAAACAGATAAATTCATCTTAAACCGACAAATAAATCCTCCTTTTCAATGCTGATTTAAAGAGATGCATTCATCTTAAAGCAACAAATAAATCCTCCGTTTTCGTTACTGTTTCTTGTAACATCAATGTTTAATACAGAAGTTTAATTAATATCACAAAAAGGCAGACAATTTCCAAGAAATTCAGCTTATTGGGTTTGATTTGTTTTGGATATTTGCATAAAGACTATTAGCACTAACTGTCCCTCCTTTTGAACCAACAGATGATGAAGGGAAGGCTAGTCAAGGTTTTTTATGTTAGATTTTCTTTGTAAAGAACTTAAGTAACATCACTTAATACCATTCATGGTTGCATAAGTTTGTACTATTTTTCTATAACAATACATCCTATTATAAATGTGCTATAGAAATCATACATGCATGAAGTGTAAGCATTCTGAACTGCTTAATCTGCAACCATTTCCTCTGACTGAGTTAAAAGTTTTTTATTCCCAGGAAATTCATTTAATTTCTTTAAATTTAGTGTGTGTGGTTTTCTTGTATGTTTGAAGATACGTAATTTTAGTCACACAAATAGAAATAGTTAACATTGTCTGTCTCTAAATGCTAAAAAAGTTTCTTAGATGTGGTAATAAATTTTCAACTGTCTCTGCCCTGTACCATACTTGTAAACTTTACTTGTGATCAGTGTACCATCTCTTTAAATGTGCTTATTATTTACATACCAAAAGACTGTTTTCACACTCATACGTATGACAAAAGCACTGCACTGGTGTTATATAGACTTTGATGACTTAATTTTTATTCTTAACTGTGCCTCTTGCTGGATTATTGGTAACCTATGTACATGTGCACACATGCATGTTTCTGATGGTTCTGACACATCTACGACCTAGAACATACATGCATGCATGTTTCTGATGGTTCTGACATGTCTACGACCTAGAACATACATGCATGCATGTTTCTGATGGTTCTGACATGTCTACAACCTAGAACATACATGCATGCATGTTTCTGATGGTTCTGACATATCTACGACCTAGAACATACATGCATGATTTCTGATGGTTCTGACATGTCTACGACCTAGAACATACATGTAGGCATATTTCTGATGGTTCTGACATGTCTACAACCTAGAACATACATGTAGGCATATTTCTGATGGTTCTGATATGTCTACAACCTAGAACTGCTAATATTCAACACAGATGTAAACTTAGTTAACACTTCACAGTGTACATCCTTGGGTCTAAAGCTAATAACAATTTGGCTAAGGTGTAAAATATTCATTTTCTTCTAATCACTTCAACATACACAATAACTGTCATTAAAATACATACAGTAAGTCTTTTATACATAACTTACTTTATAAAATAGTTACTAGCATAAGCATTTTCTTGGATTTTTAAAATAAATATTACAATCTGTCCCATGAGGTAAAACTTAAAGATACTATTAAACAGTAAATACCTAAATCTATGTTTCTGGACTTAGCATAGTAGTTAGAATGTTGGTATAAATATCATATAGTTCAAAGTTTGAAACATGATGCTAATGAGCATGCTCACTGTGTGTGGACTATAGGAGTGACAGTAAATCAAAGAATTGAACAAGCTTTTGCAGTGCCTGATGCTGCTAGCTCTGGTTGATGATTCAAACGTAATGGTCTCTGACCTGGTCATTTAACCTATATGTGCATAAGATGCTGTTCAGGTTAAAAAATCCAATTCCAATGTTTCGAAAGCTTTCGTAAAAATCCAATACCAGTGGGTCTATATATGCAAGATAATATATATACATTGAAAATGTGATAAAATGGCCCTAAATTCATATAAACAGATAATATAAAAATCCATTAAGAAAACAAAAAGACATCTACTAAAACATATGTATTTATAGATGAATCATGTGACATTATGCTAAACCATGAACATTTCTTTTACTTACTAATTGTGTTTTACATTTATTTTTGTCGTTACCACTATGTCACATGATACATCCAAGGTTACCACTATGTCACATGATACATCCAAGGTTATCACTATGTCACATGATACATCCAAGGTTATCACTATGTCACATGATACATCTAATATTATCACTATGTCACATGATACATCTAATGTTATCACTATGTCACATGACACATCTAATGTTATCACTATGTCACATGACACATCTAATGTTATCACTATGTCACATGATACATCTAAGGTTATCACTATGTCACATGATGCATCTAAGGTTATCACTACCAAGAGTCAAGTCAAGAGTTGCCCAGGTCACTGGTTTCAATTTTCTTCATAGTTTTTCCTCAACTGTTACAAGGTTGGTTAGCCAAATTCAGAACAGAATAATATTAATCACCATTGCTTTAGCAAGATAAAATCACACATGATTTTTAGTGTCTTTTTAGAATACAAAAATACAAAGACAAACATGGTCCAAGGAAATCAATGATCAAAATTTATTAAATTTATCAACATAAATTTAGCCGATAATAACCTAACTTTCAGATATGGATGATATCCTAGCACTTTTATATTATTGGTTAAATTACAAAAACTTGCATTTAGATGACACAAATATTTTATTACACAAAAAATTCACTTACTCCAGTTTTGAAGACAAATTTTATGTTAACTTTATACACACATATATATACAATTTTCAAACTGACATACAAAACTGGTAAACCAAAGAGAATGTAAAATAAACATTTCCACTAAATGTCAATGCTAACACAATCCTCAAATTTTATTTGTTTGAAATTAATATAGGCAATAACAATTTGAATGAGCTGAGCTGCTCTATTTGGAGAAATATAAATCAATCTGATTCAAGTTTTGATGAATTAAATAAACTTCACTGAATTCCTATGTTAAATTTCATTTTATATTGTGAGTTTCTGTCCTTTTCTCTGAGCCTTGTGCACTTCCTTTGCTCCGATAAATTGCTGCAACTAGTGGTACAACAAAAAATTTCCTTCTATAAATATCGATATATATATATATTTATTAACATATAAATACCTATACATAATGATTCTTAAACAGCAACCAGTCCATATTTTAATAGGTTTACGTGATCCAAGATTTACATTATACAAAAATATACATTTTTTGTCCTTCATCTTCCCAACATTTGTTTAGTGAGAGATGAAATACTAAATTATAGTTTGTTCAGAATCAAACCAAACTAACTTAAGTTTGGTATCAGCAGCTTGAGCTTTAGAACTTTTCACACAATAATTCTGGACATACACAAAATTATAATCATGTCATTCTACTATGAGAGTTTAAACAATAATCCATTTGTGACTCTTTCCTTGCTCAATTAGCATCTGTTCCAAGCAGTTACGAGAACAAAGGCTCACTCAACACAAATTATTACTCTTGGTGAATGACAATTACACAGGCCTGCAAATTTAAACTTCATAAAAGTTGTTTTGGATTTAGTAACAGATTTTCCGTAATTCAGCAATGCAGATTTCAAAAATAATATTCATTTTTTTTCTACCATGTAAGGATTTTTTACAAATCGGGAAGAAAAAAAATTTTACTTAGATGAAATTATTATTTTGTTTACCACAATGAACATCTTTTTATCATTATGTTTGTTAACAAAAATACAAACATACAGAACGAAAGGGAAAAACATTAATGTCAAACGAATAAGTATCCTCATTAATCCTGATTTTTTTTTGTGAAATCCACATCTTTTAGTTTCAAAACTACTTGCTGTAGTATTTCTTTTATGTACTGCATTTGGAGCATATTGTTTCAATGACCAGCAGTAATCAGCCATCATGCTGATGTTCCACCTTTTCTGAATCTCCTCTCCATTTCTCTGATGTCTTGATGAAACCTTTCCCCTTGTTCTTCACTGACGGCATCGAGATTTTTAGGGAAATAGTCAATATGAGAGTGTAAAAAATTAACTTTCAAGCTCATATTACAACCCAACTCTTTGCATTTATCAAGTATGTTATCAACAACATTTTCATAACTTAGATCCTTGTTGTTTCCTAAAAATTTGTCAATAACATCTTTAAAGGCAATCCATGCTTCTTTTTTTAATTTTCCTCACTGTCCTTTCGACCTGTTC